TGGAAATAATCTAAAGATGGGTCTTGAAGATTTCGAGTCATGGGCTGTGAGTATTTTCTTTGGTACCTTCTGTGTTTCAGTGTGGCATTGTCAATGGGAAGTGCTTTTGAAGTGCGGTCACTGTGATATTTTCCCAAATGACCAATCTTTATACCTTGTGGTCTGTCACCTCTACCAGTACTTGGATTATTTGAAATTGTTCAGTCCACTAATCCTTTTTCTTTGTTTTGTCTTGGGCCCATCTAGTGATTAAAAAAAAAGTTGTTCATGAGATGTAGGCATCACTGGCTAGGCCAACATGTATTAGCCATCACTCATTGCCCTGGAGAGGTTGAGTGCTGAGTTGCCTTCTTGAACCACTGCAGCCTTTGGGCTATAGGGATGCCAACAAAGTTCCAGGATTTTGATGCAGTGACAGTAAAGGAACAGTGATACATTTCCAACCCAGGATGGTGAGTTACCTTCAATGAAAGCAGTTAGTTTGAAAATTCCAGACCAGAACTGTTTGGTTAAAACCCCAAAGTGGTTATTTGAAACTGAGAAAGTCTAAACTCAGTTGTTTATGGATTTGAGGAACAGGCTGTCAGATTCTCAGCTAGGTCAAACCTATAGATGTGATAGAAAAAGGAATTTCTCTCTGGTGTGAGTCCTGTAAAGGAGTACTTTTGGAATAATTGTACTTAACCATGTGTTTCAAAATATTTAAACAAGTATTACAAGTAAATAGTTGGGTTTATTCTGTTTTGATTTTCATTTCTTCTGCATAATAACCTACTGATTTGTTGTCAAAACTGAATCTGCAGAATTGTATGTTTAACAAGACTACTTGTTAAAACCAAAAAAATTCAAAATGTAATCTATCAAACCAGATATCATTCTGGGATTAAACCTGTCCAGTAATAACCAGCAGGCATCATAATACATGATGACAATATGTACAACTGCAAGTAATTGAGGTATATTCAAGGCTGAGATAGATTTTTAATCAGTCAGGGAATAAAGGGTTATGGGGAAAGGGCAGGAAAGTGCAGTGGTGGATTATCAGATCAGCCATGATTTCATTGAATGGTGGAGCAGACTTGATGGGCTGAATGGTCTACAGTTGCTCCTACATCTTATGATCTTTTGGTTCATTTTGGCCAGACATCACGACTAGGACCAAAAACAAAGTTGCTGGAAAAGCTCAGCAGGTCTGGCAGCATCTGTGAAGGAGAAAACAGAGTTAAC